TTTGCGGGATGATGCCCACCCAGCACACTTGAGTCACACCAGTGAGGGCATTTTTTTAAAAGAGATTTTCAGGGCTCTTTTTTTCTTGATGATTCCAGTATAAGGTTTGTCAATCTTGTTTAGCTTTTTAAAGAACCAGCTCTTGGTTTCATTGATCTTTTATATTGTTTTTTTAGTTTTTATTATTATTGATTCAGTCTACAGCCATACCACCCTGAATGTGCCTGATCTTGTCTATACATCATTTATTCCCACCCTGGTCTTTATTATTTACTTTCTTCTACTCACTTTGGGCTTAATTTGTTGATTTTTTCTTCTTATCCCTTTAGGTGTAAGGTTAGTGTGTTTGAGATTTTTCTTGTTTCTTGACACGGACTGCTTTCGCTGTGTCCTGTAGATTTGGGGTGGTTGTGTTCCCATTTTCATTTGACTCAAGGAATGTTTGGATTTCTTCCTCCACCTCATTAGCCTATTTGTTGTTCAGTAACCTGTTATTTAGCCTCCATGTATTTGTATAGTTTTCTGTTTTTTTTCTTGTAATTGATTAATAGTTTCATATCATTCTGGTCAGAGAAGATACTTGGTATGATTTTAATCTTCTTAAATTTATTAAGACATGTTTTGTGCCCTAACATGTGGTCTGTCCTAGATAATGTTTAATGTGCATCTGAAAAAAAATGTATATTCTGCAGCTTTGGAGGAAAATGCTCTGAAAATATCAATTAAATCCATTTCTTCCAATATGTTATTTAAGGCTGCTGTTTTCTTATGATTTTGTTTTGAAGATCCACCCATTGATGTCGATGAGGTATTAAAATTCCCTACAATGTCTGTATTACTATTGATTTATGTCCATGAAGATTTGCTTTATATATTAAGATGCTTCTATGTTGGGTGCATAATTGTTTACATAGGATTGATCCACAAGTGTTTTGTTGGATTGATCCATTTTTTATTACATAGTGTCCTTGTCTCTTTTATAGCTTTTGTTTTCAATTCTATTTTTTGTGATATAAGTGTAGCTACTCTAGTTTCTTAAAATTTTCCATTTGCATGAAATATCTAGCCATCCCTTTCCTTTCAGTGTGTATGTATCTTTCCTTCTTAGGTGGGTCTCCTGGGGACAGCATATATATGGTCTTGTGTTCTTTTTTAAAACAATATTATTTCTTTTTAGAGAGAGGGGGGAGGAGGGATAAAGAGAGGGAGAGAGAGATCAATGTCTGGCTGTACCTCCAGTGCCCCAACTGGGGATCTGACCTTCAACCCAGGCATGTGCCCTGACTGGGAATCAAATTGGTGACTTTTTGGTTCACAGGCTGGCACTCAGTCCACTGAGCCACATGAGCCAGAGCTGTTCTTGTTTTCTTGAATCAAAGTACCTGCTGAGCTAAAGCCAGCCTGGTCTTGTTTTCTTATCCATTCACCTTTCCTGTATCTTTTGATTGGAGCATTTAAGATAATGTACATTTAAAGTTATTATTGATAGGTGTGTATATAGTGCCATTTTATTCCTTAAAAAGTGTGATTTTTTTCTTTACTTTTCTTAAAGAAGTCCTTTTAACATTTCTTATAATACTCATTGCTTGTAATTAACTCCTTTAGCTCTTTTTTCTGGGAGGCTCCTAATCTGTCCTTCAATTCTAAACGATAGCTTTGTTTGGTGTCTTGGTTGTAGGTCCTTGTTTTTTTTTTTTAAGATTTTATTAATTTACTTTTAGAGAGAGGGGAAGGGAGGGAGAAAGTGAGGGAGAGAAACATCAGTGTGTGATTGCCTGTCATTCGCCCCCTGCTGGGGACCTGTCCTGCAGTCCAGTCATGTGCCCTGACTGGGAATTGAACCAGTGACCTTTTGGTTAGCAGGCTGCCACTCAATCCACTGAGCTGCACTAGACAGGATGCCTTGCTTTTTATCATCTTAAATATTTTGTGCCGATCTTTTTTGATCTGAAATGTTTCTGTTGAGAAATTAGCTGACATTCTTAGAGTTGCTCCCTTGTTGATTAACTATTGTCTTTCTCTTGTTGCTTTTAGAATTCTTATTTTGTCTTTAAGCTTTGGTATTTTACTTGGTGTGGGCCTCTTTGGGTTCATGTTGTTTGTGATTTTTTAGTCATTTTTTAAGTAGGTTCTCAATATCTTGCTCTATCTTCTTCCTTTTTCTCCTGTGATGCATGTATTGCATGTCATTTGCCCCAAAGGTCCCCTTATACTATCCTCATTTTTTTTTTAAATTCTCTTTTTGCCCTGGCCAGTGTGGCTCACTTGGTTTGATGTCATCCTGCAGAGTGAAAGGCCTGATCGACTCTCAGTCAGGGCGTATCATGGGTTGCAGGTTTGGTCCCTGTTGAGTCGTGTGCAAGATGTGACTGAACAGTGTTTCTCTCTCACATCAATGCTTCTCTCCTTCCCCCTCTCTAAAAATAATTACTATACCCTTTAAAATATTTTTTTAAATTCTTATTTCTAAAGAACTGAACAAGCAAAATAGACTCATAGAGAGCAGGCTGATGGCTCTGTGGGGGGTTGGGTGTGGAGGGATGAAGCAAAAAAGAAAAAGGACTGATGGACATGAACTACTGTGCAGTGATTGTGGGTCTGAGGGGGTGGGTGGAAGTGGAAAGGGTATAAGGGGAAGATGCAATAAAAAAACATTAAAATTCTTTTTTCGTTTTGCTGCTCTGATTGGGTGTTTTCTGCTACCTTGTCTTCCATATCACAGATTTGATCCTCTGCTTCATCTAACCTAATGTTGGTTCCCTAAAGTCTTCATTTCTAATATTGTATTTTTTATTTCTGTTTTTTTTTTATGGTTTCTGTCCTTTTTATGCTGCTGAAGTTCTCACTAAATTCACCGAGCATCCTTAGAACCATATTTTTGAACTGTGTGTATCTGGTAGATTGTCTGCCTCCATATCCTGTATTTCTTTGAGATTTCTCCTGTTCTTTCATTTTGAGCATGTTTCTTTGTCTCCCTACTGTGGCTGCCTCCTTGCTTGTTTCTCTGTACTAGGTAGACCTGCTGTCTCCCAGTCTCAGTATTGCTGCCTCATGTACTGGACGGCCTGTGCGACCCAGTGGTATAGTCTCCCTGATCACTGAGCTGGGTGCTCTCCACGAAATAGCCCTGGTGTGGGTTGTGTGAGCCTTCCTACTGTAGTTGTCTTTTGGGGGGGGGACCTAAAAAAAGAAACATTTATTTCTCAGTTTTGTAGACGGAAAAGTACTACATCAACATGTCAGCAAATTCAGTTCTGGTGAGGGCTTGTGTCCTGGTTTGTATTCCCTCACGGGGAATCTGTAGTTGAGTCTTGATTTTTGTTGGCCTGTCCATCTGTAGGGTCAACCCTCAGGCTAGCTGATTATGAGGACTGACCCCTACCACAGTGCGTGAGCTGCTGAGAGTGTACTGACCATGTGAAGTAAGATTTGCCTCAGCATGGTCTAGTGCATGCAGAGATCTCCCTTTGGAGGTGGGGCTTGTGGAACTGATTGGATCCTGCTCTGATGTCTCAAGCGTACCAATGAGTGTGTTTGTTCTGGCACCTCTTGGGAGGAATTCTGGCACAGGTCAGTGTCACACTTTGCCTGTGAGTGGCCCTCAGCAATCTGTGTGGAGCTAGAAAGTGATCCAGTTTGTGGCTGCCTTTGCGGGGGTTGGGTGTATGTGAGAAAGGCCAAGCTGTACACTAAGCCCAGGGTCCGCCAGCACTGAGCCTGGGGGAAGGTCAGCAAAAGGCGCAAGGCACCCTGAGATCCACCTTGCCTGCCTCTGCTTGTTAGGGTCAGTCACTGGAAGAGTCTGGCTGTATGCAAGTGGTGTTAGGTGGGTTCTCAGTGAAACACCAGGCTGAGTCACGATTACCTGAGAAGATTCAAACTTGGGTGCCATTACTGGGTCTGAGGCCTCTCAGCAAAATTCCTAAGGTACACCAAGATCAGCGACCACCTGCTCGGTGCCCATAGACCTTTGCAGTTCAGCAGGGTCTCAGGCAGTTGTCAGGGTGAGGACAGCAGAGTTTATCAGGCCCAAGCAGACCAAGATCTGGCGATGTAAAGAGAGGGCTTTGTCTCAGGTTGGTGTGCAAAAGAAAGATGGCCCTGCCCTAGAGTCACACTACTCAGTCTTGACATCCTGAGTCTGCCTGGACCTGTATACCATGTGTCTAGTCAGCTGACTTCTGTGCAGAACATGAGCTTGGAAGGGTGGGACCACGGAGTCGGATGTGTGGGGCTATCGCACTGATAGTGTATGGAGGGTAGTACTCTACCCCAAAAAGTTGGCATTAGTGGGCAGTGGGGGTGAGGGACTCGGCACAGGGACACTGATGGTTGTTCTTTCAGCTCTCCTAAGCCACACTACTCATTCCCTCTTCACCTGAGTCTGTTCTGTTCCAAGGTGCCTTCCCTCCACTAGAGCCCAGGGTGAGTGGCCGCTAAAGAGATTTTGTGCATTTTCCCTTTAAGAAATTTCCTGGGTTTCTAGATGACTTCTGTCTTTCCCTGGCAGCCAGAATCCCTGCTGATTTTCACAGCCACATCTTGTATGAGCTACTCTTCCTGACTCTGGTGCTCTGGGCTGGGGGGCCTGCCTGGGTTTAGACCCCACACTTCATGGGGGATGGGGGGGGACGCAGTTTGCAGCTGGTACCCCTGGGGATTCTTAGCTGCCACATGTGCAAGTGGGGTCAGCCCTTTTTGTGTTTCTACCCATCCTACCAGTCTTGGTGTGCCTTGTTCTGCAAGTCTTCTGTTCAGCTAGCCTTTGGTTGGTTATTCAGGTTGATTGTTCTATACTCGGCTGTCATCTTAGATCCCCTGACTCTCATCTTAACATCATTACATATTTTAGACCATTTCCTTTCATCAGGGGCAAGAGGGTACTTCCTGTGTCCACTACGTAACACGTTTAATAAAGTCCATGTAAATTACTTGTTGTAGCTGGGTTTTCCACTACTGTCTAAAGTGACGTTGGTTTCTGTGTGTGTGCTTCTGACCAGGATGTGATGGTGGCAGGCGGCATGGAGAGCATGTCCAACGTTCCCTACGTGATGAACAGAGGAGCCACGCCATACGGTGGGGTGAAACTTGAAGATTTGATCGTAAAAGATGGGCTCACCGATGTCTACAATAAAATTCATATGGTAGGTATTTTTTTTACTAGTGAAATGCCATGTAGTATATAATACTGCTCATTTTAAAAAAATTATGTCTTTAGAAATTGACTGAAGGGTGGGCTCTATAAATGTTGATTTTAGCCATTCAATTTAGGAAAATATTTTTATTTGCGTATTTTTATATGCGTATTATATCAGCCTGGCTTAATTACTGAATAAATTGCCACACCATGGAATTGGGAATTTTATGACTTGTAGTAATGTGTTCCATAGCTATTTAATGATTTGCCTTTGAAACAGCAACTTCTGCTCTAATTCAAGTATTTGAAGATGAGACATGAGTGAAAAGTTACCTAGTACAGAAGAGCATATTTTAAGAAACTAAATTTAACTGCTATTTTATATTGTCCAAAGGTAAATAGATACTTTATAAGTTATACAAAATTAATTAGTCTTTAAAAAATTCCAACTTTCATCAGGGTAACTGTGCTGAGAATACTGCAAAGAAGATGAATATTCCACGAGAGGAACAGGACACTTACGCCATCAGCTCCTACACCAGAAGTAAAGCAGCGTGGGAAGCTGGAAAGTTTGGAAATGAAGTTGTTCCTGTCACAATCACAGTGAAAGGTAGAGGGATAGTGTTCCAAAATAGATTTTATTTTTTAGTAGACTTTACATGTTGGTAAAGTTTTTACGTGTAAATTTTTTACATTTAAATTTTAGATTAGTACATTTTCATCTTTTATTTAAAGTGAGGACACTGACCCTTCTGCTTAATTAAGGGAAATGTTGCCAGATAATATAGTTCAACCCAACTTAATGTAGGTGACAGCCCATTAGTTTAAGTGAAAAAGAATTATTAGAAGGCTTCTGGGGTGCCCTCCTAGAACTGACAGATGTATGGCAGCAACCACTCAGCTCCTCTGAACTGGGTATACAGTACTATTAGGACAGGCCCTCTGGCTTCTCAGTGCTGCATGCTTTGGTGCTTAATTTGCTCCAGCTTCTGCCTTTATTTCTCTTTACATGTGTAAACCTCAAAGAGACCTCCTGAGCAACTCCAGTGAATAAATCCACAGTACAGGCTCATTAACCTGGTTTAGGTTACATTTCCATACTAGAAATGTTTACTGTGCCCAGAATGATGGAATACTGGAGCTTATCCAGCCTAGGTAGGACATCTGCCCCTGGGAGTAGGAGAATGGGATCCGTGATCACAGAAGGAGGTGGAAGAGAGGAGATGGGATGTGGCTGAAGAGATTTAAATTGTGTTAAACTACTTACTAATCTTTAAGACAGTAAGGGATTAGAGATGGTACATTCTACAGGCATGTGAGGGAGCCACAGACTATCAGGTACCTTCTCCAACAGTTTCTTACTGAATGACTAATTGTTGTTTTAATTGATGATTACTTAAAAGATTTTTGGTCCAGGCCCAGTAGCTCGGTTGGTTAGAGCATCACCCCAGTCAATCACAGTTGTATGTGTGACCCTCAGTCAGGGCACACACAAGAATCAACCAATGAATGTAGAAATAAGTGGAACAACAAATCAGTGTTTCTCCCCACTCCTTCCTCTCTCTAGAAACATTAAAAAAATTTTTTTAAATATTCTTTTAGGTAAACCAGATGTAGTGGTGAAAGAAGATGAAGAATATAAACGTGTTGATTTTAGCAAAGTTCCAAAGCTGAAGACAGTCTTCCAGAAAGAAAATGGTTAGTATTAAGAAATGAAGCATAAGAAAAACATGGAGTCTTTAATACTGTGTCTAGTCTTCGAATTGCATCACGGTTTTTAAAAAATAATTCTAGAAAACATGTAGGAACTACTTAACATTTTCAGTATATCCAGATCAAGTGCAATTAACAAAACAAATTTGACTCAAAGTATATTTATACTTGCTTAAGAGTTAATACTGTTAATATATACAATCCTAGGAAAGAGATTATAGAATTACTCTAAAATTGGTTTTCATATGCAGCTCATCTTGAAAGTTTATCGTGTTATGAAAGTCAAGTTTCCATATTATGTTAAATGTCTGTAAGCTTCTTGAGAACTAAGATGACAGCTGTTTTTTTCACTGTTGTATCCCCGGTGCCTGGCATGTAGGAGCACATCCTCAGTAAATAACTGTTGAATGTTAGTACAAATAAGATTTCAATGTTCTGAATGGTTTTGATATCCTTTTGCGGAAAGTCAGTTCTGCTTTTAAAATTGGCTGTATATGGTTGTGCTAATAAACCAAAAAAAGTCTCTTTCCTGATTGAATCTCTCGAAACCAACTACAGGAATGGTGTTTTGTTTTTTTTTAAAGCATCATATAAAATTTATATTGCAGAACTATATATACAAATACTAGCAGCAGCCTATAATAGGCTTTTCACTGATATTTTAAAACACACCTTAATTGACATAATTTACATACCATAAAATTCTCTTTTTGGCCCTGGCTGGCGTGGTTCAGTGGATTGAGCACAGGCCTGCAAACCAAAGGATTGTGGTTCCATTCCCAGTCAGGGCACATGCCTGGGTTGCAGGCCAGTTCTCGGCAGGGAATGCACGAGAGGCAACCATAATTGATATTTCTCTCCCTCTCTCCTTCCCTTCCCCTCTAAAGATAAATAAAATCTTTTAAAAAATTCTTTTTGCACTATAGCTCACTGATTTTTGGTATTCATTGACATTTAACTTCAGGTAATTGTAGAGAAGAAGAAACACCTGATTTTGACAGATTTAAAAAACATATGAGTATCTTTTCTATGGTGGATAAAACAAAGAGATTTTGGGGCAAAAAATATGGTCTTTACCTTTGAAGAATTGTAAACTAGCATTTACCCAGTGCCATCACACATGTGTTTCTGAGCTAGCTTTGAATATAAACTGTTACATTAACTGTGTTATAGTTAGCTAAATTTATATATTTTCCAGGGCAGGAGTTATCTCCATTTGTTTGTAATTTTCCATGCATCTAGCAATACAGGCAGTACTTCATAGCAATTTGTTTAACTGAACCAAATTAACGCAGTGTGAAAGCGTGTTTGGACTCCATGCTCACTGATGACTTTCAGGCACGGTAACGGCTGCCAACGCCAGCACCCTGAATGACGGAGCAGCTGCTGTGGTTCTGATGACTGCAGATGCAGCCAGGAGACTCAACGTTAAACCACTGGCAAGAATAGCAGGTAGAAAATGTTCTGAACTTGTTTATTCCTCAACCTATATGAGCCATTCCTGAAACCGAGGTTCTTGGTCAGTAATACATAATATTGAAGCTATTTCTGGCTATAAGGTTGTGCTTTATGACAGGACATAACTAGTACATATTTTAACTGAGAAAGAAACTCCTTTAGCCCTGCCTGATGTAGCTTAGTGGATTGAGCACAGGCTGCAAACCAAAGGGCTGCTGCTTCAATTCCCAGTCTAGAGCACATGTAGGTCCCCAGTGGGGGCCACATGAGAGGCAACCACACATAGATATATTTCTTTCTCCCACCCTTCTCCTCTCTCTAAAACTAAATAAAATCTTTTTTAAAAAGAAAAGAAACTCCTTTAATATTTTTGTTATAGTTTGCTTAATATAAAAGCTTAAAAAATATTTTCCTGTCTTATTAAGGGTGTGAGAATATGCAGTACTTGTTTTACACTGGCACCGTCAGGAAAGGCAGCCAGGTAAAATCCCATGTACATAAAAAGGATATGGGATCAGGAGTCTGGAGGTATGAAATCTACATGTTCTGGCATTTATTATTATTGACTGTGCGGCCTTGGTATACCCTCAATCTGTTTAAGCCCCCTTTTAAATATAAAATCTGCCCTGTTTTCTTCGAAATGAGTTAAACATATTTTGTTAATTTACAAAAACATTGTTACTATTTTTTATTCTTTGTTTAGTTCAGGGGCGTCAAACTCATTTTCACTGGGGGCCATATCAGCTTGGTGGTTGCCTTTCAAGGGCGGAATGTAATTTCAGCTCCTTAATAGTTAAGGAGTGGTTACATTTATACAGTCCTGACATTGTTTCTGCCCTTTGAAGACAACTGCGATGCTGATATGGCCTCCAATGAAAGTAAACTTGATACCCCTGGTTTAGTTCATGATTTGGTAACTTCAGCACTACCAACTGACCATTCACAATAATTCTGTTTTGGGGTTTGTTCTGTGCATTGTAGGTATCCTTGGCTTTTCCCACTAATTACCATATAAAGTGGCATTGTACCCACGGCAACAACCAATAATAAATGCCAGAACAGCCGTGGGTACAATGCCACTTTATGTGTAACCCCAGTGTCCCTGGAGGCAAATCCCTCCAACCCCCTACTCGTGAAAATCAATAGCTTTTAAGGTGTAGAATGTTAGAAAAGGAAGAATTATATTTACATATATTACAGGGGTTAGGTAACTTGTATTTTTGCACATTATATATAAGGCTGTTGGATATAGCTTTGGGTGCTTATAAAACGATTTTTAAAACTTTTAATTTTTTTTTAATAAAGCATTTGCTGATGCTGCTGTAGAACCTATTGATTTTCCAATTGCACCTGCCTATGCTGTACCTAAGGTGAGAACATACTCCACTCTGCCAGCTTTTGGTTTGTTTATACCAAGGTTGTAGGTTTTATATTTTAAATGTTATTCATGTCCAAAAGCCTAGAGAGAGCTTGAATTACTTGTAAGGCATATACCAGCATGGTAACCACAAAGTGGGAGGTTGGTATGGCAGAAAGAAAAGGGGGATGCTGAGGGTCCTGATTCCAGAGGTCAAAGTACATACTCATTACTACAAGAGGTCTCCACCCGGAAAGGGAACTGGTGGGAGCGGGTGTTACAGTAAAACTAGAGATACAGAGACCCTACCTCATCCAGTTTGTCAGTCTGATCTTCACGGAAAGTTGCTAGTGAGTCACAAGAAAAAAGGCCTTCGAGGAGGTTTGTGTTGAGGAATCTCAGAAGACTGGGTAAGTGTATTCTTTCAGGAGAGAAACAACCTCATACAAGAGAGTGAACTTCTGAGAGCTGTACTGAGATTGAAAAAAAATAAATGTAGATTATGGGTAGAGAAGGCTCAGAAACAATGGGGATGATGACCTGTCCAGAGCTGGCAGGTCTCAGAAAGGGGCAATTAGACAATTGAAAGTGAATGTCTCACACTGAAAAGCAAGGGTGATAAACAGTTCTGGATTCTGGAGGTAGACGCCTGACCAAGTCCACATTCTGAGAGCTAGAGAAGTGGTCGCACTTGGGTGCCGCGTGGTGTCCTGTGCGGGTGGAACAGAGGAAGCTGTTTGAACTCCACAGCTTAAAAGTTACCTGAGCCTGATGGAGGAAGCCAGGAAGGGTCACGAATAGTTCCATGTTAATTTTATGGTTGCTTACAACATAAAAACTTCTAAAGGAAAACAGCACTAGCACTATTTTATAAAGATAATCACTACCCTCATAACACCTTCCTGCCTATGAGGAACTGCCAAAACAGATATTAAAGAGACTTTAATGAGATAAAATAATTTAAATAAATGAAGTTACAGGAACTCTGAATATCTGTGCCTCAACTCCTCAGCAACTTTTATAAAGCAGAAACTATATCAATAGTACAGATTAATATACATCTTTAATTTGAAAGACCATTTCTCTCTCTCCAAAACAGAAATAAGTACAAATAAAATCTTTTGATTAAAATGCTGTATGTTGAGAAATTAAAATCTGAAAATAACAGGGGCATTCTTCCTGGAAACTAAGAAAACTACATATTTAAATATCTCTTGCATCAAAAAGAAACACAAACCAAATTTCTGGTCAAGATGATGGAGTAGATAAATACAGTGCTCACCTCCTCCCACAACCACATGAAAATTATAATTGGATTATAGAACAACCATCACTGGGAACTGCTCGAAGACTAGGCGAACAGAACTCAGAACTACAGATAATACAGGAGCAGCCATGTCAAGACTATTGGAGCTGGAGACATTGAATGAGTAGATCCTACACCCATGCTGTGGCAGTTAGGAAGTGGAGTGATACCTTGGCTGTGCAGGTCCCTTCTGAGGAGGGAGTGGTCACAGCCCAGGACCCCAGAGCTAGGAAGAGGAGGTCCTCATGACACCCAGCTGTGAATATCAGTGGGGATTATGACTAAGTGAGAGAGAAGGCTGCTGGATTCCTAGGTGTTCCTCTTCAGGGCCAGTGTGTGGACCTGATTGCTTACAATCTCACTTCTTGGCTCCAGAACAGGACACATGGGGAGGAATTTAACTGACTAGATTCAGGAACAGGGCTGGAGGGGCAGGGCTTCACATGCAAGCATTGGCAGGCACCTCTGTTCCTCTGAGACCTCTCTTGGGACAGCTGGCAGAAAGGCATTAAACTGAACTCTCCATGAACCTAGCTAACATTGTTCACCTTGACCTGGAGATCCCTTGAGACCCTACCCCCAGCCTCCCAAGTCATGCAACTGGTCTGAATCTCTTCCAGCAGCTTTTCCACAGACGTGCCGTACCTTGGTTCCTTACCTTGGCTTGTACTGTGGACTTTAAATCACAAAGGTCCATAAAACCGAAACAAGCATCATCTGACTTCAGTGTGCTCTGTACTTCTTGCTAAATGGCCAATCCTGGCATAAGAAGTGATTGGTCTCAACTTCGAATTTCAACATCCATCAGAGTCCCAAATCTAGCATAAAGAATGGCCAGTTTTGGCTTGAGATGTAGCTTCAACTAAGCAGCCACAAGCAAAGTACAAGTGGCAGCTGGCCTCAGCTCACTGTTGAGCCCACCAATGGATCCCATACCCAACACTAGTGGCAGACAGCCTTAGTTTGCAGGACAGCCTCTCCCAGTGCCTTCAAGCTCAGTAAAAGTTTCAGCCAACTGCAGGCCACTTTTTACCTCCTGCCAGGCAGCAGGAAGCCAGGAACAAAGGATAGCTGAACTTGACATCACCAGAGTTTCTCCTAAGAGCCTACAGCACCAACGCACCTGGTGGCTAGCTTCAGACCATGCCAGAGCACCACCCAATCAGCTCCACAAATGACACACCACCAAGAGTGCACTTGGCTGGCAGCAGAGTTCCACTAAAGCAACTCTTGCTCTGTGGAGTCTGCCCCTGCAAACAAGTTTGTCTGCTGTAGTCGTGTCCATGCCTCATCAGGGTCAACCCCATCTACTGACATAGCAACAGTAAATAAGGCGGGACTACAGTAGGAAGGCACACACAACCTATACATGGAGCAGCCGGTTCAGATGACCAGGGAGACTGGGCCCCACAGGACACCTTCCACATAGAGCTACCCTGTCAAGACAAGGAGATGTTCTAGATCTACCTAATGCACAGAAACAAACACAGGAAGGCTGCCAAAATGAGAAGACAAAGATACATGACCCAAATGAAGGAACAGGAAGAAACTCCAGGAAAAACAAAATGAAATGGAGACAAGCATTGTATCAGATATAAAGTTCAAAACACTGGTTATAAGGATGCTAAATTGACTTAATGAGACGATTATATGAAAGCAGTGAGAACTTCCAACAAAGAGATAGAAACCATTAAAATGAGAACTAATCAGAAATGAAAAATACAATAACATAAATAAATAATAATGTACAGAAAATCAACATTAGATGAAGCAGAGGATCAAATCGACGATTTGCAAGACAAGTCTGAAAATAAAGGGATGGGAAAGATATTTGATGTAAATTGTAAAAAGAATAGCCTGGGGTAACAATACTCATGTCGAAAAAAACTTGTAACAGACAGAAGGGCATTTCATAATGATAAAGAGAACAATCCAACAAGAAAACAGACATCTCATAAACATCTATGCGCCTAACATAGGCAGACCTAAGTATATAAAGCAAATATTTTTAAGAAGATTTTATTTATTTACTTTTAGAGATGAGAAGGGAGGGAGAGATGGAGAGAAACATCATTGTGTGGCTGCCTTTCCTGTATTCTCTCCTGGGGACCTGGCCTGCAACCCAGGCACGTGCCCTAGATTGGGAGTTGAACTGGTAACCCTTTTGTTCACAGGCTGTCACTCAAACCACTGAGCCACACCAGCCAGGGCTATAAAGCAAGTGTTGACTGATATAAAGGGAGAAATTGACACTAACACAGTAACAGTAAGGGACTTAAACACCCCAGTGACATCAATAGGTAGATCATCAGACAGAAAATTAACATGGAAATAGTTGACTTAAGTGACACATTAGGAAAGAAGGACTTAATTGAGATTTTAAGGAAGTCACCCCAAAGTAGTGACTTATCACTTCTTCTCAAGTTTGCATGGAACATTTTTCAAGATAGACTACATGTCAGGCAAGAAATTTAAGAAAACTGACGTATCAAGCATCATCTCTAGTGACAATGGTATGAAACTAGACATCAGTAATGAAAACACCGAAAAACACAAACATGTGGAAGCTAAATAACATGCTCCTAAACAATGAATGAGTGAACGAGATCAAGGAAGAAATCAAGATGCCTTCAGGCAAATCAAAAGAAAAACACAACTCAAAACTTATAGATACAGCCAAAGTAGTTCAAAGAGGAAAATTAATAGCAATATAGGCTTTCCTGAAAGAACAAGAAAATAGTAAATAAATAACCTTAAACATAAAGGAACTAGAGAAAGAACAACAAAGCACAGTGAGTAGAAAGAAGTAAATAATGAAGATCAGAGCTGAAATAAAATAGTCAGAAAAACAATATAAAATGTTGATAAACCCAAGAGCTGGTTCTTTGAAAAGACAAAATAAATAAACCTTTAAGCCACACTTATCTTAAACCAATATAGGATTGTATGTCACATGTAACTGAAAAAATAAAATTTAATCCAAATTGCTGGATTTCAGCAAAACAATGAAGTTTTGACTGTAAATTATTCAATGTAATGTATTTTTAAAAAATTTTAGGTTCTTAAAGATGCAGGATTGAAAAAAGAAGATGTCACAATGTGGGAAATCAATGAAGCCTTTAGTCTTGTTGTACTAGCAAACATTAAAATGCTGCAGATTGATCCTCAAAAAGTGAACATCAATGGAGGAGCTGTTTCTCTGGGACATCCAATTGGGTAGGTAAAGTTGAAGAAAAATACTCTAAGTAGGTTAATGGCTGCCTTTGTGTGTCTTTCATGTAAAGTCCTATTACTCTGTTAGAGATTTCCTTCCTGCCCTTCATAATGCAAACACCATTTGTGATAGCACTGAACACTGAACACAGATCTGTAGCATTGTTTCTTGAAATTAGTATTTCTCTATTCTGAATTTGATTTCAGATTAAAGTCTAAGTAACCATTCTTGAAACAACTCTCCCAAGTTTAAGAAAAGTAATAAAGTTCAGCTATAAGTAAAGCCTAATAAGCTTTTCAAAAAGTTAATTTGGAATAGAACCTTTTTTTTTACTTATAAATTCTAATTTAGTAAAGAACCAAAATGCTTTCTTAATCCTAGGATGTCTGGAACCAGGATTGTCACTCATTTGGTTCATGCCCTGAAGCAAGGAGAATACGGTCTGGCCAGTATTTGCAATGGAGGAGGAGGTGCTTCTGCCATTCTGATCCAGAAGCTATAAGACAACTTCTGTAATCAGTGTGACCCAGCTTCCTTGGGTCAGCTTATACTCAAAATAATGTATCATTTTTTAAATTATTTTCTATTTAACTTTTAAAAGATAGAAAAACCAAATCCCAAAATGTTTTGAAATAAATTTTTCTTCATTCAGCTTTAAATTTTTGTTAATCTTCCGAAGCTTAGCATTTTTATTTTATAAAGCTATATTTGAAATATCAGTGTGTAAACTTAGTGACTTATACATAAGTAGCCCGGGCCTTCCATTTTAGAGAATGAATTATGTTTTTTAGGATTTTTATAAGATCAAGTGAATGTCATCTGTAGCTCATTTAGATTGAGCAGACTCTTTAATGTGAGAGTGGCCACAGCGGGCAAACTAGCAGTGCCTCACACCATTAGGTAAAAGCCACAGTGACTGCAGTGTTGTTAGAAAAGGAGAAACGTGCTCAGGTCTAGGTGGGTAGAATTGCATATAAGCTCAGCATTCAGGATTTGGGGTGGGGTCACACGGAGAAAGTCCCGGGGTTTGAGCTCTTAATTTCCACAGCAACACACAGAATGGGAAAGAAGGTAGAAACTGCTCACCTGAATGGATTTATAAAGGAAAGGGATTGCTATTTTCAATATGCTGCAGTGCCTGTTCTTGAACAGGGTAAAATGCAGCACAGGTATTTCCAATTGCATTTCATCTGGGGAGAAAGCACACTGTAGGCAGGGGCTGTGCACATCCACCGCAGCAGCAGCCGTGGGAAGGGAAAGAGCTCTTACCCGAGTGGAGACTGACTGACAGCAGGGGGAGAGGGGAGGGGCGGAAATGTCATTTATACACATAACTTGGCCAATAATGCACTGTGGATTCTTATCTGTGAAGCAACAAAAAGACAATTATGGGAAAAAATGTTGTTTTGTTGTCAAAGAGAACTTTCCAAAATATTCGTATGGTAATCACAGCTAACTTTTGTGGCTCCTTTGCTAAGTACTGCCTTAGAAGCTCTGTTTTAACTTCTTTCATCCTCACAAAAATTCAAGAGGGCCGGTACCATTATTGTCTATTTTCATACTAGACGGTAAGGAAATGGAAGCACTACATGGCTATGTAACTCCCAAGGTCAAATACCCAGTAAGTAGCTGAGACGGACTCAGATCGAAGCAGTGTCACTCCAGAGCCCATGCAATGCATTACGCTTGGCTTCTCTGTACTCCCGTGTCTGCCCAACTGTACTAAGAACTAGTAAAACACATGAAAAAAAGAAAACCCCAAATGCAGTGACCTGAAAATGTCTTAAAAAGCTCTTTGACAATTCTGGGGGAAAAATATATGGGAAAAAGTAAAGAGAGGAAATGAGAAAAAGATATAGAATCAACAAGTGGTAGTTCTTAAAAAGAAATAAAAGCAAATGGTATTCTGAGGCAATAATTAGAATATAATTTTAGAAAGTTATTTTTTTAGTGCTAAGTGGGCAAATGTTGAAGGACTTATTTAAAGCACCGGTAACAGGATCATGTGAAGACAGTCTGGAGAAAACAGAGTGAAAAAGAATAATTCTTCAAACATTGAGGTAGAAAAATCCGTAGGCTCAGACTTAATTTCTATTATAGTGAGTGTCAGAAGATAAGCGACCAATATCTGCATAGTATTTTTTAGCCCTCACCTGAGGACATGCTTACTGATTTTAGAGAGGGGGAAGGGAGGGAGGGAGAGAGTGAGGGAGCAAAACATTGATGTAAGAAAGAAAATGGACTGGTTGCCTCTCATATGTACCTTGACTGGGGACTGAACCTGTGCTTAGGTATGTGTCTTGACCAGGATTTGAACCTGTGACCTTTTGGTTTAGATGTCAATGCTCCAAGCAACTGAGCCACACTGGCCAGGGCTGCATAGTATTTTTAATGGTGTAAAGTCACAGACACTAGAAGGTGTTTAAGGACACAAGAGCTCAGAAAATACAGCACTGTGATGCTTCTTTGAAAAATAATAAAGAATAAAAATTAAGAATTCAGGAATGTGAAAATTAAAAATTTTTAAATGATTAAGGACTGGCTGGGGATGAAGGTTAGTTAGTGGTAATGTAGGGAGAGAAATTTTACAGTTTGTTGAAATATGCAGGGATTAGGGGTTCATGACCCCTTGTGTAGTCAAAAATCTGCATGCAAGTTTTGGTTCCTCAAGAACTTAGTTGTCCCTCAGTATCTGCAGGGGATTAGTTCCAGGATACCCTGTCAATAAAAAAAGCTAATGGTGTTCAAGTGCCCTACATGAAATGGCACAGGTCATTGTATACAGTCAGCCCTTCACATCCACTGACTCCCAGTACAGGTAATTACTGGGGGGAAAGACCCAAAACACCTATGTATATAAGGAGACCCACACAACTCAAACCCATGTTATTCAAGGGTCAACTGTATATGCTATGTACAAGCAAATGTCCATATAAATTACTATAGAAGAGCTGAAAAACCCAATTGTAAAGTAAAAAAAAAAAAAAAGAGACTGACTTCTAAACTTAAAATATGACAAGAACTATTTTGCATAAAAAAAGATGATTCCTAGTTATAGAGAATCCAAAGAGAAGTAGAGGAGTACAAGGAAAGTTAGGAAACAACTGGGAACTGACCATGATCTTCCCTGAAGAATAGGGCAGCCAGCAGGTGCCACCTTCCATTCTGCAGGAAGACCATTACAAATCACCAGTATCTCCCTAGAAGGTGCAGGTGCACGTTTGACACCACAGATTTGCAGGTCACCCAAAGAACATGCCTGTGGATCACCAGCTTTGACAGCCAACAGGGCCTTGCACATGTGTCCAATAAAAATTGAAGCAAAGCAGCGGCTAGTAGTAGGTGCAGGACATATCCTTTCTTCACCCATAGCTATACACTCGGGCACTGTGCAGAGGGAGCAGGCAAAAAAGCCCATATCCCTGGGAGGGCCCTAACTACATTATTTGCCCAGCTGGTGCCCAGTGGGGTGTAGCTTCCAATTAGCCAGCATGTAGGAGCTCACTGCAATCCTCCCTTTAGGGCACTAACAGGTTTCGGCACACCTTCAACCACTGGGAACCACTATGAACAAAGAAAGTGTGGACAGTCACAAAAGATTAAGGAGCTCTGGCCAGGCTGATTGTGTCCTCCACCAGATCACTCTGTTAAGACCGGGAGAGGTACCTCTTTTATCTCATGCACAGAAATCAAGTGAGTAAAGGATAATGAAGAAATAGAGGAGTGTTCAAAATGAAAGAATAAAACACACTATAGAAACAGGCCTTAATGAAAAAGAGGTAAGTGACCGACCTGATAAAAATTCAGACTGATGGTTATAAACATGCTCAATGAGGTTAGGAGAATAATGCGTAAGCCCTGGCTGGGGAACTCAGATGAGTAGAGCGTCGTCTGGATATGCCAAGGTTGCAGGTTCGTTCCTCAGTCAGGAAACATACAAGAATCAATATTTCTCTCTCTCTCAAATCAATTAAGAAGTAGTACATTAGAAAAGTGGGAATTTCAAGAGACAGAAAATATAAGTACCAAACAAATCACAGAATTGAAGAAGACAAAAACTGCACTGAAAAATTCAACAGAGGGGTTCAGTATTGGACTATATCAAGTAGAAGAGAGAAATCAGTGAACTCAAGGCAGGGCAGTGAATGTCATCTAATCAGAAGAAAAACAGTTAACTGGCTAAAGGCCTTGTGTGATACCATCAAATGGGCAAATATATGCATTAACGGGGTCCCAGAAAAAGAAAGGGTTAAGAAATCATGGCTGAAAACTTTTATAATCTGGAAAATGAAATGAAAATCCACACAAGTAAGCCCAGAGTGTTCCAAAATATATGAATGCAAAGAGCACCACATTGATACACATTATAATGAAATCGTCAAAATATGAGACAATTTGTTAAGTATACAGGAACCACAGTAAGACTATCAGCAGGTTCTTCACAGAAACATTGCAGGCCAGGTGGGAGTGGCATGATGTATTCAAAGCGCTGAAAGAAAAAACTGCCAACTAAAAAACCTTTACCAACAAAGCTGTTCTTCAGAATTGAAGGATAGGCTGTTTTCAGATAAGCAAGGGCTAAAGCCCATCACCAGTATATTGGCTTTACAAAAAATGTTAGCAAAACTTCACCCTGAAACAAAAGGACACCAAACATTTGAAAGTATAATTCTCACTGCGAAAAAAAAAGGAAAAATTCAGAATGCTCTTAGGTAACAGCGTTGAGCGTATCACTTATAACTCTATTATGATGGTTTGGGGAGAAGAGTAAAAGTGTAGACTTTTAGCCCTGGCCAGGTATCTAGAAGGGATTGGTAAGAAATATTCAGTCATGAAAAGCAGGGACCTACAGCCAAGACTGCTCTGACAAGCAAAGCTATCATTTAGAATTGAAGGGCAGATAAAGAACTTCCCAGACAAGAACTGAAGGAGTTCATCACCACCAAACTGTAATTATATGAAATGTTTAAGGCACTTATTTTGTAGCAGTAAACCTACTTAGATAAGCCTGGACAAGTCAGAAGGACATGGTCCCTTTGCTGAAGCACTAAGATAAGGAAGGGTGAGCAACTAAGTAATTAAGAGGTAAGAACAAAAGAACATTGTATGACCCTATCAGCAGCCCTGTTTTCTCAGCAGCCTTGCTTTCTTGCTTCTGCAAACCTGCTTCTGTCACGTAGGCTTAGTAAAATCAATTCTGCATGCCACACTATAAAAACAAGCCCCTGCCTGAGCTCAGGGCCCAGAATTTGGAGACTGCCTGGGTCTGCGCACGTAAATAAAGTAAGTTCCACTCCATACACCCAAAAGTGGCTGAGTTGTTTTCTATAACAGTTTAAGAAAAAGATCAAAACTATTAACAAGAATGTCAAAAAATGCACATCAACAATTGAATCTAAAAAACTAAGCAAAGAAAAACAGAGACAGAATACAGTGTTTTAATGGTTGCTAGATGAGAGAGGGCCGTGAGGGGGCACAGGGCGGGGCAGAATGGGCAGGAAGGTAAGGAGAAGATTAAGAAGTACAAATAGGTAGTTACAGAATAGCCATGGGGATGTAAAGTACAGTATGGAGCATGGAGAGGCCAAAGAACTTATAAGCATGATCCATGGACATGAACAATGGTAGGGGGATTGCCTGAGGAAGTGGGCAGTGCTGG